AACCGTTCAATAATAAAGATCTAGTTAGATGGCGGTGTTCTATTTCAAAGTAGTTGAAGTCGAAGCATAGACAAAATAAACGAAACAGATCTGCATAAGTTATATTCCGCTTTATGTGTGACAGGTGCGCGATACAAAATATGGTTGTGCCGCAGCTTTACGAAAGATAGTACAACTAAAATCTTCCTGTTGGTTAATCAGTGTTAGATCAGAGCCCAATATTTATGTTGCATTAATTAACTAAATATAATTTTTATTTGAAATTACTCATTTTCACCAATCTTTACCTAAGATCGAAAAATTCATTGAAAAAACGCGGGAAAATTGAAAAACAGCCAGGAAAATTCTTCATTATCGCCATTTTTTTCCTGACTGTTTTTCAATTTTCCCGCGTTTTTTCCGCTTAGCCCCATTTTCGGTCAGTTTTACAGATTTTCAGGATTTCATCGGATTCTAATCCTTTTTTCCTATTTTTTCTTGTACTCCTAAGGGTTCCTCCAACTTTGGGAAGTTTGTATAGGATTCTCCAGGCTTCTGTAGGTCGGGGAGTCCACAGCTGCTTAGAATTCTGGTGTTTCCCCCTTGGTCCTAAGGCCTTCGGAATTTCTTCTTGTACGTCTTTGACTATCATATCTATTCGAACGCTCTTTCTAGCACTAACACTTGAGACCTGACCTTTGTGCTTTCTGCTTTTGACGCCACTAACAAGGGATTTAGCTACATCACAAATGAAATCCAAATAACTAATTTTTTCTTTTGTGACATCAATGAAAACAGGGGTAAGTATTGAACAACATTGCAGAGATTGACCTATGAGAATGGTCAATCTCTGGCGTAATACAAAGATTCAGAAATTTCATGAGAGACTGTTACTTGAATATAAAACACTCTAATAAACCTTTAGAGATTAAAACTGTCCGCCAAATCGTTGGCTTTTGAGAAAGTTTTCCAGAAAACGTCGCTTATCATTCCCTTTTTTCTTCTTGATTCGACCGCAGATAATAGTTCAGCATTCAAAATAAAGTATACCATCAACTTTCAAGTCATTTGAAATGACTTTAACCCGAGTTATGAATTTTTCAATCTTAGGTAAAAATTGGTGAAAATGAGTAATTTCAAATGGAAATTATATTTAGTTAATTAATGATTAATGCAACATAAATATTGGGCTCTCCACTTACGTTGACTGCAGCAAATATTTATGTCTTCTTTTGGGAATTTGATTTTAGGAATTCTAAGTTATAGAATTTACAAGAAACACCCTAAATTAATTTCTTAGTTCTGTAGCTTCGAGCTGACAATGAACATTTAGGGCGTTTCTTGTAAATTCTATAACTTTGCAAAGAGAGGTTGTGTAGAGCTGGTAGATGTCTCATTTTAATCACAAATTGGCGAACTACAGTTATGCCTCATTAAGAAAAGCTTTTTATTACTTTTTAGAGGTTCTGAAAAACTGGTTTTGTAGAAAACAGGGCCTTCAAGAGCCATGGGGGTAAATCATTTTAGACTTTTCACTAGTTCGATACCCTCTATCGATCGACGTATGAACGAACGAAATCAGAAGGTATCACTTGGACAGATTTCCTCGTCAGAAACTTCGGGGTGGCACAATGAACAGCCACAAGCAAAAGGCAGTTTCGAGAGTTCAACTTCGGTTATATCTAGGATTGTAGAGTAGACATTTCTGAATTCACTGCATTTTTATTTTCAGTTGTAAATGAATACTCGCTGTGTGACATTATTAACAGGACATGAGCCTCTTAGGGCAGTCTTTTGAACGTAATTCAAATTTCTCTGTAAATTAATTACACATGTATAGGAACTGGTTTATGTACCATTTGAAAGCACTTACTGTTTGCTTTATAAGTATACATCTTGCAGGTACTCGGTCTTCATTATCATCCAGTAAAGTTTAAAATAATTATTAAAATTTTTATTATTATTAACAAAACTTTTGCAGTTCGAGAGAAAGTTAATGATTCTCTATCCTCCATGGATGCGTAAAAATACGCTACCTTCTACTCTCAGCGGTACAGTCTTGCGCCGAAAATCCCCTGCTGAAATCCATTTTGATATAGATATCATGTTTGAATAGATTTTGACTGCTAAATCGATTTCTGATTCTTTAATTGAATGCCCCTAAATACTTATCATAACATTTTAGAAATATGTTTCACATGGTAGAGTTATAACTTAGTTTCGGAAACAGAGGAAATACGAAAACATGTTTGTCTTCTTGCGATGATGATAGAAACTAAATAAACTGTGCGATATTGGTAAGTCGTTCCAGTTATAGAACGAAGTGAGCACTGAGACTTAAACTTTGAGTTCATGCATAATCACATTTCATGAATCAAACCATAACGTTGAAACATGAAGCTAAGTTCGGATACGTCCTCCTCCAGACATACGATACTTTCGACAGGTTTAATCAGCTCATCTTGGTTATGCTTAGATAGATTAAACTCATAATCGTTCCCAATCGATATCAAATACACTTATTATATAGGTTTCTAAGCTTCAAGTTAAATCCATGTGTGATTGCTTCTCACACTCATTTTCTCCACAATGTGGGGGACAGAGCTAGCAATCGCACCGCTCGGATACGTCCTTGCTACCTGACATAAGTTCTCTTTGAGGACCTGTTAGCTTTATCGATTTTCATAGGGGCTGTTCAGATACCACGTGATCAAGTTTTGGGGTATTTCTGATTCCTGCCTCTTCTTTAATGATCGAACATGCAGCTACTCCACCTCCTTCCCCGACCACATGGTCCAAAATTTTTCTGCACTAAAACTATGAAAAATGCACGTATTCTTCAATTCTGTAAAAGTAAACCGATGTATAGGCATTCGATCAGCGGTAATTTTCTTTCACTGGAGTAGAACTATTGAAAATATTGCATTCATGAACGGCGAAATGTTTTAGAACTTAGTTCGACACTACTCTAAATATTTTTGTTGTGGATATCTATAGAGATCGTTAACGATATCTGTACTGCAATGATTAAAAATGCTCTCGTTTCTATTTGAAAAATATGTTTACTCCTGTTTTTCATTACTATCTATCGTATCTATTTTTGTGATAGTCTATGGATAAACACATACCGTTTTTATTTACAACCTATACCGCTTTATAAAAGCTATGAAATTCCGTAAAATGATTTTCTAAAACAACACTGCGCTTATTGAACAGAGAAATCCTTTTTTATACGCACAAGCAAACGATAGAAATCACAATTCACAAGAGGCTGGAAAAAAGTTAAAACTAAACATAAAGTTAAATACAAATAGAATAGATAGTGATTAATTTTCGTTTCTGATACATGTATATATACTTCATTTAGAATAATTCAGCATTCTTTTTAATTAGTCTGTTTAAAAAAACATTATTAATTAGAATAATCTATATTCTAGTTCTAGTTTTATTTTTTATGAAACAGGAACACTAGAAAAAACATTTTTCGACGAGACAGGAATATTAATTAAGCTTTTGATGATACGGGAACTAATCATTTTACATCGTGATATTTTCTCAACATCCAATTATTCTGCAGATATATAACTGACTACCATAGGAAAAAGAAATTTTAACTGTGGAACGCGGATAAACACAGCGACAGGGTTTACTCTCGATACCTCTCTAATGCTCATTCTCACTTTTGATGCCACCTTTGATGTTGTTTAATCTGCAAAACCAGTTAGGGATGAATCAAGAGGTTACTAGTGGGAGTCATTGCACAACAAAGATGATCATTGATTTAATTAGCTTTTATTTCCTCTGACTTTTATACGAAACAAAGACTCACACAAGGAGGATATCCCTCTTGTTACAGAAAAACTGGTGAAAGCATATTACCAATGTGATCACGAACAAACGCCCAGCTTGTTCGAACCGGGTCTACAACACAGTACCTTTGCAGTACGTGATGAAGAACATGATCATGAAGGCACCCTGTCTGACTTGTCGTGACAAAAAGAAAGAACAGAACTGCTACGATAACAGTATGTATTTCTTGCACTTCTAGAATTTCAAAACCTACTTCTTTGTGTCATTTTGCTTCAAGAAAAACAAATCAAGCAGATTAACACTTGGCTTTTTCCCGTCTTTTATTGGAAGTTCGATTGTTTTTCAAATGAAAGAACAAAGATAAATAAGGGTTTTACCCACTCATTCTTTATAACAAATTTCACATTAACGAGAAAAGTTATGTTTGTTTAACTTAAAAACGTCATTTCAAATTCTCTTATTCTTGGATACTTTTCACTTCCTTTCCTCCGGTCTTCAAGAATTATTCATCAAGCGTCTGTTTTTCTTTTAGTTCCAGTCTACTTTCTTTAGAATGGTATCCACATCGAATAAAAGTATAATAGTATAGATAAGTAGCATTTCAGCTTTCGACTAGTACTAGTGTTTAAATAAGATCATAAACCAGCTCTCAACACCATGAAAACAATAAAACAGTGAATAATATTATGTATCTCGAAAAATACACTATGATTATACATTTATATGAATGCCATCAAATTTGTATTGAAAACAAATTGCTGCAATTCAAAGAATATAATTGTGCAAAATACCTCTAAAATACAGTGTTTCACGAAATAAAAACTGAGTATGGATATCTTCAAAATAAAAAGGTTTAGCTGCTTCGTGTAGTTCACATTTATTTTAAAAGGTCGAGTTTTGCATGTTTTTTTATCAAAATAGAGAATTTCAGTAAGAAATGTAAAAAATAAAATGCATACAATTATTCTATATTCTTTTTTCTCATATAAGAGTCGAATTACTTTATTTTGTTTTCACAAAATACTCATAAAAAAAATACCCTCTAAAAAGAAGTATTATATATAACATCCACTCTACTGATAATTTCATCGTTATACGCAACACTCTACAAACTAATTGCAGAAACAATGGTTAATCAAACAGTAAATCTTCCTACTTTTACAACGGCAGATGAAGTGACTACTTGTGAATGTTTATCATGTGATATTAAAATGCAAAAAGAACATCGGTTAGATGGGATCAAGTGTTCGCGATCTAACAATCAGTTTGAGGATGACCAATTATTACAAACGTACGAAGTGGTAAATGATTGTATAGTTGAAAAACAATGTGGTATTTCTGAACTTCAAAAGTTGACTTGTTGCGTATCAGCAGATTTGGGATGTTGCAAACAATTACCAGAAGATGAATCACATCAAAAATGTATTATTGAAAGTCACCGTTATACTGCGATGAGACACTTAGATAACGATTTAGATACAGAAGTGGCTCTTAAATCTACCGCTGTATCATCGACAGATATCAGAGATTTGTGTGAAGAACACAACAGATTATATGAAACTCTAACAAATCTCACAGATGGAATGGAGACGCTCATCTGCGATAAGACATGGTTGACTACAGAACTATTTAATTTAAAATCTTTAGTTGATTTTTATCATCAAGAACAGGTAAAATTAAAGCAATCGGAACAAGAGCAAGATGCAATAATCAGTGGAATACAATTGAATCAACAAATATTACAACAAAATTTAATAGATTTAACTCAAAATGTGGAAAATATGCAATCAACTTCATATGATGGTACATTTATTTGGAAAATTAAGAACGTTGCACATGTGATGATGTCTGCACAATCAGAACAACAACCGAGTATCTATTCGCCACCATTCTATTCATCTCAAACAGGTTATAAAATGTGTATCCGTGCATATCTAAATGGAGATGGTAACGCTCGTAGAACACATCTATCACTTTTCTTTATTTTAATGCGCGGTGAATACGATGCCATTCTAACGTGGCCATTTCATTTCAAAGTTACTTTCTGTATGTTTGATCAATCTGGACAACAACGTCATATTATAGATTCCTTTCGTCCTGATATCAAATCAAACTCATTTCAAATACCCAAAACACAAATGAACATTGCCTCTGGCATCCCAAAATTCTTTCCGTTGTCGATGTTGCAACAGGATGGAAATAACTACGTTAAAGACGACACACTCTTCATTAAATGCACTGTAGATTTCAACTTTCTACCGAAAATGCTGTTGCCATACTTTTTAAGCTTAAACCCTGGACTGCCAACTAATGTTAAAAACAAAATGATCAAAACTGAAACTGAACGACGACAGGAATATCAGCAGCAGGCATCTACACACACATGAATTTCATCAAGTTAATAAAAAGCACTGAGGATCAATCGAATAGTAAATAAGCACAGCAAGACATATCATCTTATTACTAGTCAAAAATAAAACGGTACATAAAGAACATGCTGTGACTCTATCACTAGTAGTCGTTTAATCCAGAAAGATTTTTTGTTTGAATATCTGAAATCCTGTTATCCATATTATTCACATGCGTTTATCTGCACGATATTATTTACATATTTTGGCTATTTTTACCTTCGAAAGTATGTTCGTGAAAATGTATGTGTATCATTTATTATGTTATTTAGACGAGAGTACTACTATAAAAATATAATGGAATGACTCATCTTTTAAATAATATTTTAACAAAATGAGATAGAGGCTTGCAGTATTCACCATCGTGTAGCCAAGACCTGACGGAATGGTTTCATCAAAAACCTAGTTTCGTATACCATCTAAAAGTGGTGCACTTTATTAGTGTTTGAAAGAGAAGGTTGTCAAACAAGGAAAACTAATTTCAATGCCGATAACATGATTCGAACGTCCGAATTGTCGTCTGTATTTTTATGAAAATCCCAGCTGTTTTACCTCTCACCGTTCGGATAAGGCTCGCACCTTCTTCTCTGAACAAATTGCTTCAGATTTTCAAAACTCACTCATTTTCGTCTGTTGTGCATAAGAATGTTAGAATTATTTCTCATATTGAGATGTATGCTATAATTTCTGAGTAAGTTGAATTATTCTATATGTGAGTTTCATTTGAAGATCTACAGAGGTTTTCTGAGAACCTCTCGAAGATATTGTTTGTAATTTTAGTTCTGACATTGGATAGAACACCTTCTCCTATTCTCATTCTTCAACTTTCAGGCATTTTGGTTGAGGAATAAAGGTGCGAGAAGGTTTTTATTTTAGGATGCTCACAGCGGAAAAAAAAGAATTTTCCGATAAATTCACCATTTGAAGTTTCTTTAATCCGGACAACAAAACAAACATTGTCAAGAGTTTTATCATGGTCGAAAACCTATGTATCGAATTATTTGAAGACTTCGTTACATAACAAGAAGTAAGATCAGAGGATCCTAGCAAAATCCGAGCATTATCCGAACGGGTTAGAGGTAAAAAGTTGAGCCTCATAGAAATACAGACGACAATTTGGACGTTCGAATCATGTTATCAGTATTGAAATTAGTTTTCCTTGTTTGACAATCTTCTCTTTCAGACACTACTAGGCTTTGGACTGAACCATTCCGTCAGGTCTTGGCTACACGATGGTCAATACTGTAGGTTTCTATCTCATTTTGTTCAAATATTATTAAAGAGATCAGTGACTCCATTGTATTTTGAAACGGATAGTAGTCCGAAGTATGATATTTATCTGCTTGTTTGTTTTCGTGATAGGCATTTTTTCTCGAATCCTGCGGGTGTATGGATTTAAATGTCACATGTGAACATTGAAAAACTGAACGATAGCACAAAAGTATTTCAGTATTAGAAGCATTTAAAT